CTGAAATGCTAGGGCATCCTTGGATGTGTGGAGATGGGCATGTGAGGGGAGATTCTGGGGCCACATCTCCCCCTTTGCCGGCCCCTGTGCTCTAATACTACTACTTCTAAAGTCCCCTTGGGACACAGCCTTCTTAACAGCAGCGTTTGTCCCTATGGCTGAAGTCAAGAACAAGCCATCCCCCTGTTCCTGAGAGATCCTCTGTGCACAGATAACCAGAACTCACCTGTGGACTGGGTTACACACGAGATCTTGTAGGACAGCCATATGCTTGCCATGCAGAGGAAGGTGGCCATGAAACCAAAGATCTGCAGTGGAGAGAGGGGAGAGGAAGTTCACGGGCCGTAGGGCCAATTACTCGGGCAATCCTGTCTGCTTCTCATCTCTGCGCTTGTTCCCTTCATGCCTCTGGCCAGAAAGGAGCCTGGAGAGTCATCTAACCCAACCACCTCATCCTGGATCAGGTGCAGAGAGGAAGCCCCAAGAGACCTGGCCACTGGCCCCGGTCCCCCAGGTTGGGCCAGGTCAGGGCTGGCAGCCAGGCCTCTCAGTCTTTTGGCAGCCTCAGTGCCTGGTTTGGGTTTACATTTACAAGACAGCTGGGGCTAAGCCAATGGACTTGGATTATGCTAGACCAGTAGAGAAGAAAAGGGTGAAATTTTAATTTGGGCTTAAAAAATCTGAACGTTCACATGATTTGTGGTGTAGTGGCGTTGTTCGCATTTCATCTGTAATGGTTTTCTGTTCCGTTCTGGCTTTACAGCCGTGTAAGAGCCAGAAGCCGAGGCCTTTACATCTAGGTTTATGTTTGTACATATTAAACAATATTAGACTAAACTAAGTTAAGGCAGCACCCTTTCCCTTTCTCAGGGTCATCCGGCACTCAAGTGTGAGGAAGGCTGACCTAGTCCAGCCCCCTCACTTGTAGATGAGACTCGGGTGCTGGGAGAGGAAGAGCGCCTGTGGGCAGGCTCATCAAATGGTCGAGGGAGAGGCAGTAGCTTCTTCTGGAATCTCTGGGCTTTGAAGCCTGCAGCCGTTTTCCTTGCTTGTGAACAACACTGGGAGCTGCAGTGGTGAAAACTTACTGACCACTTTACTACATCCCTACCAGGGTGCGAGGCTCTGTGGGTGTATTCATTCCTTTAACCCTCACAACTCAGCTGGGCGGGAGCTACGATTACCCACCCCTGCTCCTCCATTTCACAACTAAAGAAACAGAGGTACAGGCGGTCAACTATTTTGCCAAAGGCCACAGAGCCAGCAAGGGCCAGATATGGGATGGGAGCCCAGGAAGCCTGACTCCAGAGTCTGTGCTCTGCAGTACCCGGTGCCTAGGTATTCTCGGACACACGCAACGGCCTCCACTTCACTACACCACCACTGGCGTCCGGTGAGAATGGCACAGGGGCAGCTAAAGGGTAGGATTTTCAACAAGGTTTGGTTTTCTTTTCAAGCCCAGATGCTGCTTTACATAAACAGCTGCCCCCACTTCTTCCCTGGGTTCCTTTTCCTGGGCTCCTTTTGTACCAGTTGTCTGCAGCACATAATTAGCCTATTAAGAGCCTGTCCCGGCCTCTCATTGTCTGTTCTGCACAATTAGCACATTATATACCATCCCAGTCTCCAAGTGTCTGCATTGCATAATTGAACAGTTTATTATACGCTACAGAATGCTATTCTAGACTACAATGCCTTGTTTGCTAATTGTTTCATGTGTCTTGTCTCCTAAGTTAGATGACCACTTTCTTATAAGCAGGGACCATATTTGAAAAATTTCTTCTAACTTCCTCATAGCCCAGGTTTGGTCCTAGGCACAAAACAGCATATGATGAATGTTAGCTATAGACATTCCAGGGCTAAACAGTTACGTGCAACCTGAATTACCAAACACAGTGGGAATCTCCCCAAGTGGGCCCGGAAACACAGTGGGCACAGGTCTCCTGCGTGCCTCTTCCAGCACCCTGCACTGTAGCTGGGCAAGTGTTAAGCTGCAGGGGGCAACCATCCCTCTCTTCAGAGAGGGCAGAGAGAGGGGGCAGAAGGGTGGGGCGGTGGGCTGTGGGAGGGCCATGTGGAGCATCAGTGTTGGGAGGTTTGGCCACCCTCTACAGTGACCTTCTGCCCCCATGCTGACCTTCAGAGGACAGACTCCATCCCTTAGTGGAATTCCAGGAGCCAACCCGCTCCCAGGCCAAAGTCTGGAAAGTTTTGGTAATATGTGTAAGTGAAAGACAATGAATGTCACATACAGAAAGAGCTTTTCTTTTTCTCTTTTTCTTTTTTTAAGACACGGGGTCTCAGTATGTTGTCCAGACCAGACTCGAACTCCCGGGTACAAGCATTCCTCCCGAGGGCCCGGGACTACAGGTGCATGCTACCACATCTGGCTTCAGAGAGCTTTTCATAAAACTCATTTTTAAAATCTTGTCTACTCATCAGTGAAGCCAATCAGTGTTGGCCCACAGGTCACTGAACTATAAACAGCTAAATCAGAAATCAGATGACAGGAATCTATGATTCTTTAAAAAATAGTATATACATCTGTATGTATATACATATATATGTATGTATATATCTCACAGGACTGTATTTCTGTATATTTCCATCTGCTTCTATGTATGGCTATCAGATGGATCAATTTTTGCCTCTGAAAGATACAGGAGTGTTATTTCCTGGCCTGCATACTGTTAAAAATCAGGAATGGCAAAGCTCAGGCTCATGGCATGTATCTCTAACTGATCACAGTACATTTCCCACTGGGCCCAAAAGAGGCCCCAGAATCTGTCTCCGCATAGTGTTGAGGCAGCCAACGAGCAAACGATCAGAGTGGGTGTGTGAATTAAAACCCGCTTGGCCCCCTGATTTCAGTAGTGGCTGTAAGAGAGAGAGGCCTGGGCTGCTGGGGCTCTGTGAATTTGCCGGCAGCCCTGACAATCCACCTTCTGGGACTGGACGCCTCTGCTTAAGGCTCTTTGAAGAGAGCTGATGACTGGATCAAGGTAGGTGTTGATTCTATGAAAGGAATGCCCCAGAAACCAAACCCTTCTCTTCCCCCATCAGGAAGAAAATGAGCATTTTAAATATGAATTCATTCCTAAAGGCTCCCCAAAACGTCCTCACCGCTCCGGCTACCAGTCCGCTCTGATTGTAACTCTTGGAAGCTGCCACGATGGAGGCGATGAGGAGGAGCAGGGTACCGATTAAATAGTGCAGAAGTTCCTGGGGGCAGAAACAAAGCAAAGAAGTGGGTAGGGTGGTCCATTCCTGGTTTGGGAAGAGCAACTGGGCATCAGAAGAGATGAAAAGAAAGGGAGACAGTGATGCTTCCTCTTCTCCCTTGCAACACGCAGATGGGATGAGCAATGCAGCTCACAGGCAGCCAACGTGGGGGCTGAACAGGAAGAGGCCAAGCAAGACAGAAGTGATGCCGGGCAGGTGGGAAGGGAAGAGGACAGAGAGAAAGGAAGCTTCCGGTGTGAGCAGAGATAGCCACTAAGGACTCCTCTACTCCTGAGAGCAATATGTGGACAGTGCCTTCACCTTTGGCTAAAGCTACTAAAAGGCAAACGAGCTTCTTGCAACTTCCTGGCTGGAGAGTTTAAAGAAAGCTCCAGCTCTGAGAAGCACAGTGCCTTAAAGAGATATTTGCCTTTCTCTTCTGCTTCAGAGGAAGTTCTGGGCTAACAATATGCTGGTCTTGTGTGACTGACTGGAGTGTCTGCCCACTATGTGAACGGCCCCGAGTGTGGACCTGAGAGGTGTTCATTCCCAGGGGCCTGTCAGACTCAGACTCTAGAATGAGGTCAGTGGCGCTTCCGTGACGTGTCTGTGGATGTGTGGTGGCAGCTGGTTTTCTCACTCCTGAGCCTTCCTGCCCCCCACTCCTTTTTTTTTTTCAGTCGTTCCCTCTTCTCTTTTCTCCAGAAGAGTGCCCTCCCGGCCAAGCTCTGCCAGTGAATCCACTGGCAGGACTAGTTCCACCTCTGCTTCTTGCCTTGGCCCATGGGCTGTGTATCTCCACCCCACTCACTCATCATGATTAATCAGCATCCTTGCAGGCCCTGGATGAGACCAGGCCTTTCAGTAGCGAGGGAAAGCTTCCACCTCACCCTCTCTCTTCCCCATTAAACATCAGATCAGAGAAGAACTGAGGCTGGCGGCCACTTCCAGTGCTTGCCCTGAATCCAGGGTGCATCCATTTTCAGTTGTCTTCAATGAGAATTAAGAAATCATTCCTTCATGAAGTTTTGTCCCTTAGGGCAGGCAGCTATTAAATTTTGGAAAAGCATTCCAATTTAAAGCTGTAGCTCCTCTCAAAGCTATGTACAATCAAAGACCCTGGTTTCTCCCTTAGTGACTAGAAAGGAATATCACAAGATAGATCACAGAGATTTAAACTAAAGAGCAGATGAGTAACTGCAAGTTCCCCACCTCCAAGATTCTCACCTATTAAGACAGAGGAGGATGACACGGGGCAGAGAAAACCTACTTGAGAGAATCCTAACCGGAAGTACCTGCACAGTATCTCAACCAGAAATGTGTGGCTCAGTCTGTCCTTCCAACTTCCACTCCCCATGCAGCCCACTCTTGTGTTTGTCGCTGAGCTTCTGTTCTCTCCTTTGCTTGTTCAGTATCTGCATCAGGTAAGCCCCGGAGGAATTTGTTTTCAAAAGAAGCAGAAAAAATGCCATAGCTTTGAAAGGGTCCTTAGAACTTAGAAACACAAAGGAAATTTCTCATAAGATAACAGTGGGTAATATGTTAAATGTGAACAATTAAACAATCTAATCAAGATGCAGAGGTGGTCAGACTGGATTAAAAAAACAAAGCAAAACAAGATATAACTACAGTATGTGCTGTCTATGGGACAGAGACTTTATATTCAAAGATAAGGATATGGTATGCAAACGACAACCAAAAGAAAGCCGGGGTGTCTGTACTGCATCAGACAAAATAGAATCGAACACAAAAAAAGTTACTAGAAATAAAGAGGGACATTTTATAATAATGAAAAGCTGAATCCATAAGGAAGATATAACAATTATAAACATATATACACCTAATAAAAGAGCCAAAACACACGAAGGCAAAAATGAAAAAAACGAAGGAGAAAAACAGACAATTCAAAAATAATAGTTGCAGAATTCAATATCCCTCCTTTCAGCAATGTATAGAACAACCAGGAAGAAGGTCAACAAGGAAACAGAAGATTCAAACGCCACCATAAAATGACCAGACCTAAAAATCCTGTATAAAAACTCTATCCAACAAAAGTATAATATGCAAATATACAACGTATAAAAGTACATCCTTCTCAGATGTACACAGAACGTTGTCCAGGATAGACCACATATCAGACCATAAAACAAACTTCAATAAAGGTAGAAGGACTACAAAATATGTTCTCTGAACACAATGGAATCAAATTAGAAATCAAGAGCAAAGGGAAATCAGGGAAATATATAGAGATTAAACAACATATTCCTAAATAATGAATGGATCAAAGAAAAAAAATCATAAGAGAAATTAGAAAATACCTGGAAATGAATGAAAATGAAGACATAATATACTAAAATTATGGAATACAAGTAAAACAGTTATCGGGGGAGATTTATAGCTGTAAATGCCAATATTAAAGGAGGAGGAAGGTCTCAAATTAGATGACCTTCTACATCATCTTAGTCTGTTTTGCATTATTTTAATAAAGGAATACCCACGGCTGGGTAATAAATAAAGAAAAGATGTTTATTTGGCTCATGGTTCTGCAGGCTGTATAAGAAGCATGGCACCTGCGTCTGTTTCTGGTGAGGGCTTCAGGGAGCTTCTATTTCCTGAAGCAAAGGTGAAGGTGAGCAGGCATCACAAAGCAAGAGGAAGGAAGCAAGAGAGACAGGGGAAAAAGGTGCCAGCCTCTCTTTAACAATCAGTTCTCATGGGAACTAACAGAGCAAGAACTCACTTATTACCACTAGAACAGCATCAAGTCATTCATAAGGGATCTGCCCCCATGATCCAAACACCTCCCACTAGGCCCTACCTCCAATACTGGGAATCAAATTTTAACATGAGATTTGGAGGGGACAGATATCCAAACTATATTATACATTAAGACACTAGGAAAAGAAAATCAAACTAAACCTAAGGCAAGCAGAAGAAAGAAAATAATAAAGATTAAAGCAAAATTTATTAAGGTAATAGGAAAACAATTAAAAAAATCTAGGAAACCAAAAACTGGTTCTTGAAAAGATCAACAAGATTGACAAATCTTTAGCTAGACTGATCAGAGAAAGACAGAGAGAGAGAGAAGATGCAAATGAAAGAGGAAACATTACTACTGCACTTACAGAAATAAAAAGGATATAAGAAATACAATAAATAATTGCATGCCAATAAATTCAATGACTTAGATGAAATGGACAAATTCTTAGACATATATACTACTAAAATTGACTCTAGAATAAATGACACAATCTGAAAAGATGGTAAAATCAGAGTTTGAATTAACAATAAAAAAAAATTACCCACAAGAAAAGCCCAGACCCAGATGGTGCCACTGCTGAATTCTACCAAATATTTAAGGAATAATTAATACCAATTCTGCACAAACTCTTTCAAAAGATAAAAGAGGAGGAAATATTTCCTAAATTATTCTGTGAGGCCAGTATTACCTTGATACCACAACCAGATGGACATCAGAAAAAAAGAGAACTACAGACCAATATCTCTTTTAAATACAGATGCAAAAAATCCTCAACAAAATATTAGCAAACTGAACATACTAGCATATAAAATGGGTTATACATTAGGGCCAAATGGAATTCACCCCAGGAATGCAAGGTTCGTTCAACATATACAAACAAATCAGGCCAGGTGTGAGGGCTCATGCCTGTAATCCCCACACTTTTGGAGGCTGAGGAAGGAGGATCACTTGAGCCCAGGAGTTCAAGACCAGCCTGGGCAACATAAGGAGACCTCATCTCTACCAAAAACAAAAAAAAAAATTAGCCAGGCATGGTGGTGCACACCTGTGGTCCCAGCTACTCAGGAGGCTGAGGTGGGAGGATCGCTTGAGCCTGAGAAATAAAGGCTGCAGTGAGCCGTAATTATACCACTGCACTCCAGCCTGGATGACAGACCAAGATCCTGTTTAAAAAAAACAGAAACAAAAAAACGAAAACCAATGTAAGACACCATATTAATAATGGGAGAAAAACTCAGCACCTCAGTAGATATGGAAAAAGCATTTGACAAAATCTAAGACTCTTTTATGATAAAAACACTCAACAAAGTAGTGCTAGAAGGGAACTTCCTCAACTTGATAAAGGGCTTCTACAAAACACTCACACCCAATGTTATGTTTAGTGATGAAAGAAGGAATGCTTTCCTCCTAACATCAGGAAAAAGATAATGATGGCTGCTCTGCCATTTCTATTCAATATTTGTCTAATTTATTCAACTAATTTCCTGCAATAAAGCAAGGCAATGTTATGGCATCCAGATTATAAAGGAAGAAGTAAAAATATCTCTATTTGCAGATCCTGTTTATAGAATATCCTATGGAATCCACTAAAAATACATTAGAAAAATATATTAGAACTACTAAGTAGTTTAGCACAGTTGAGGACACAAATCAGTATGCAAAAAGTAACTGGACTCCTGTGCACTTGCAATGAACAATCTGGAAATAAAATTAGGAAAAAAATCCATTTAAAATAGCATCAAAAAGAATAAAATACTTGGACACAAATTTAATTTTAAAAGTTCAGGCCAGGCACAGTGGCTCATGCCTGTAGTCCCAGTATCTTGGGAGGCTGAGGCAAGAGGATTGCTTGAGCCCAGGAGTTTGAGGATGCAGGGAGCTATGATCTTGCCACTGCACTCCAGTCTGGGTAACAGCAAGATCCTGTTTCAAACAAAACACAAAAACCACTTTTACTCTGAAAACTACAAAACATTGAAAGAAATAAAAGATTATCTTAAAAAATGGAAAAACTTCCCATGTTCATGGATCGTAAGACTTAACATTATTAGGAGAGCAATATTCTCCAAATTGATCTATGGATTCAACATAATTCCTATTATAATCCCAGCCGATTTTTGCAGAAATTGAAAACCTGATTCTAAAATTCATATGGAATTGTAATGATCCAAATCAATCCTAAAAAAGAAGAACAAATTGGGAGGCTGCATATTTCCTAGTTTTACAACTTACTACAAGGCTACAGTAACCAAAATAGTGTGATAATGGCATAAAGATAGACATATGGATCAATGGAATAGAACTGAGAGTCCAGAAATAAATCCATGTATTTAATGTTCAACTGATTTCAACAAGGGTGCTAATACCATTCAATGGGGGAAAGAACAGTCTTTTCAACATATGGTGTTGGGATAATTCGATATCTACATGCAACAGAACGAAATGAATCTTTACCTCATGCCCTATGCAAAAAACATTAACTCAAAATGGATGAAATATTTAAATATATGAACGAAAACTATAAAACTCTTGGAAGAAAACATAGAAGTACATTTTCACAATTTGAATTTGGCAATGGCTTCTTACATATAAGAAAAGCGTGAGCTAAAAAAAATAGATAAACTGAATTTATCAAAATTAAAAACTTGTGCTTTAAAGGACACCATCAAAAAAGTGAAAAACAACAGAACGGGAGAAAATATTTTCAAGTCATATAGCTGATAAGGGACTTCTATCCAGACTCTAGGAAGAATTCTCACAACTCAATAATGAAAAGACAAATAACCTAATTAAAAAATAGGCAAAGGACTCAAATAGACATTTCTTCAAAGAAAATATACAAATGGCCAAAAGCACATGAAAAGATGATTAACATCATTACTCATTGGAGAACCGAAAATCAAAACCACAGGAAATAACACTTTACACTCACTAGAATGGCTGGAATCAGACAGTCAGATAATAAGTGTTGGCAAGGATGTGGTGAAATTGGAACCTTCATACACTCCTGGTGGGAATGTAAAAGTGCAGCCACTCTGGCACACAGTCTGGCAGTTCCTCAAACAATTAAACACAAAGCAACCATATGACTCAGCAATTCCACTGCTAGATATATACCAAAGAAAAATGAAAATATGTCATTTTTCTTACATATGAATGTTCATAGCAGCATTATTCATAATAGCCAAAAGGTAAAAACAACCTAAAGGTCCACTGATGATGAATGAAAAACAGAATGCAGTCTGGTCTGTCCACACAATGGAATACTATTTGGTTATAAAAAGGGCTGGCATGGTGGCTCATGCCTGTAATCCTAGCACTTTGGGAGGCCAAGGTGGGAGGATTGTTTAAGGCCAGGAGTTTGAGACTGGCCTGGAAAACACAGTGAAACCTCATCTCTGTAAAAAATGCAAAAACTAGCCAGGTGTGGTGGCATGCACCTGTAGTCCCAGCTACTTGGGAGGCTGAGGTGGGAAGATCACTTGAGCCTGGGAGGTTGAGGCCACAGTGAGTCGTGGTCACGTCACTGCACTCTAGCCTGGTGACAGAGTGAGACCCTGTCTCTAAAAAGAAAAAAAGGAATGAAATAGTGATACATGCTACAACATGGATGAACCATGAAAACATTCTGCTACGTGGAAGATGCTAGTTACAAAAGACCGCAAATACAATTCCATTTACATGAAATGTCCAGAGTAGAAAAATTTTAGAGACAGAAGATAAGTGATTGCTTAGGACCGGAGGGATGAGTGTTAGGGTGGTGACAGCCAAAACGTATGGAATTTCTTTCTGAAATGATGAAAATGTTCTAAAGATGACTGTAGTAATGGTTGTACAACTCTGGAAATATACTAAACTCCATTGAATTGTACCCTTGAAATGGGTGAACAACACAGCATGCGAACTGCATCTCAATGAAACTTAAAAAAATAATACAGTGGGAAGAAAAAGTCTGGCAACTTCTGACTGTCTCTTCAGCCCCTACTAGTCCCTTTTAGCCAGAAAATCTTATCATTCGATCCTCACAACAGCATCAATACCCTTCCTTTCGTGTTCCTTTTCTCAACTCATACACCCACAGCCATTCTCTGTTGCTTGAGAAAATAAGCACGAGGCAATAGTCACAGCCTTCTTGTAGCTGGAAAGTGAGTTTTAAAAACCAGCAGGACATCAGGCAGAGGTGTTCACCAAACAATAGGAAATTCAGGGCAGAGGCAGCAAAGAATGGTTAAAGAGGTGAGATGGGCAGACGGGAAAAACTCTGTCAGGTCTCAGTACGCCAGCTAACATCCTGACTTGTGCATGAGGAGGACAGGGCCAGGCCACTCTCTTACCGACAAGGGCCAGCTGATACAGGTGAGCACGCGGTAGAAGCGGAACAGGTGGACCAGGTAAAAGGCGAGGATCATTATCAAGTCGCAAATGGTGACCACTTCAAAGTAGCTGTAGGCGCTGTAGTTGGTCCACGGGGAGCTCCGCACGCAGATGAAGGCAATCAGCAGGGTGACCTGCCACATAAATAGAGACATCAGAGAAATGCTTACCCAAGACGGGCACCCAGGGAATAAACAATGGAAAACAAACCAAGCATCCCCCGGCAGTCCCAAACTGAAGAACTGCTATTAATACAACTCAGGTTATTTCCACACAAACTGGCTGGAAGGTTGGAAGGTGCAACTTCATGTGGTACACACTTTGAAAACTACACGCTGGCTGTGAACACTGATGACGGCAGAGACTGACTTTGTCCTCTCTGAAGTTCGTTAGATTGTGCTGGCAGGAAGCCCCCTCAGAAGAAGCAGGAAAACAGTAAAATATAAAAGCAGAACCATCCCTTTCATCCGCTGGGTATCCACAGAGCAAAGAAGACAGCGTGATGGTGACCTGGGGTTTACACATTAGGTCCAATTGTATGAAGTTGCCAATATTTGATGGTTTTTGACCTACAAAGATGGCAATTCATACCTTACAGCTATCAACTGACAGATAACAAGTTACCATTTACTGATGTCTGACGTACATGATCTCACTAAGGCCATGCAGAGCCCTGCCAGGTAGACAAAATCATCCCCGTGTTCATAAGGGTAGACTGAGGCATGCAGGTTCAATCTCAGTCCAAGGCTATCTGGCTTGTAAGCAGGAGAAGTGGGATTTGAATCCAGATCTGTCTGACTCTAAGGACCATGTTCCTCCATGTCAGGTGGAGTTCTACCTCCCAAAAGTGTAAGCTCTCATCATAACAAGCTGAGAAAGGTGGACGAGTTCTCAACCCTGCGGGAATCCTGTTTAAGAGATGAGGCTGCTCGCCATCATGGCATGTGGTGAGAGCTCACTAAGAAATATCGCAGCACGAGTGAACATGCTTAACAGCCCGCTACTGGATTAATAATCAGATGAAATAATATTAGCAATGCATGAGTACAAGAGAGTCGAATGAGTAAGAGTCAGAGCTTCTGTGAAGGCCACTCAAAGAGAAAACCTGTCTACTCCATGTAGGGGACAAACCAGTAACACACAGGGTTCAATGTGTGTAAAATCTTAGAATCTATTTTATTTATTTATTTATTTGTTTATTTTGTTTTTGTTTGTTTGAGTTAGGTCTGGCTCCGTCTCTCAGGCTGGAGTGCAGTGAACCAATCTCAGCTCACTGAGACCTCTGCCTCCTGGGCTCAAGCCATCCTTCCACCCTAGCTTCTCAAGTAGCTAGGATTATAGACGTGTGCCATCATGCCTAGCTGATTTTTGTATTTTTAGTAGAGACGGGGTTTTGCCATGTGGCCCAGGCTGGTCTCAAACTCCTGAGCTCAAGCAATCCGCCCGCCTTGGCCTCCCAAAATGCTGGGATTATGGACATAAGCCATTGTTTCCAGCCAGGAATCTATTTAAAATGCACAACCAACTTAGGAAAAAGATTATTGTATACTGCCTCTTTCCTATAGAGGAGTGTTTTTTGTTTTTTTTTTCCTTTGACATGGAGTCTCGCTGTGTCGCCCACGCTGGAGTGCAGTAGCATGATCTTGGCTCACTGCAACCTCTGCCTACAAGGTTCAAGTGATTCTTGCCTCAGCCTCCCGAGTAGCTGGGACTACAGGCATGCAACACCATGCCCAGCTAATTTTTGCATTTTTAGTAGAGACGGGGTTTCACCATGTTGGCCAGAATGGTCTTAAACTCCTGAACTCAAGTGATCCGCCTGCCCCAGCTCCCCAAAGTCACTGTGATTACAGGCGTGAGCCACCACGCCTGGCCAGAGCAGTGATTCTTAAAGTGTGTGTGTGCGTGTGTGTGTGTGTGTGTGAGGGGGTATGTGAATGGGTGTGCGATTTTGTGTCCTGTGGGACATTTGGCAATGTGTGGATATATTTTTGGTTTACACAATTTGCGGGGATGGGGGTTGCTACTGGCATTTAGTGGGTAGAGGCCCAGGGTGCTGCTAAACACCCTGCAATAAATAGGAGAGCTCCCATAGTAAAGAATTACCCAGCTCCAGCCCCAAATGTGGCCCCTCAACTACAATACTATTGTTGAAAAACTGCTGTAGAAAATGTCAGTCTACAATGAGAATTAAATCACAAAATGGGGCCTGGTGCAGTGGCTCACGCCTGCAATCCCAGCACTTTGGGAGGCCGAGGCGGGTGGATCACCTGAAGCCAGGAATTTGAGAAGCCTAGGTAATAAGCAAGACCCTGTCTCTACAAAAAATACAAAAATTAGCTGGGCGTAGTGGCGTGCACCTGTGGTCTCAGCGACTTGGGAGGCTGAGGTGGGAGGATGAATTGAGCCTAGGAGGTCGAGGTTGCAGTGAGCTATTATTACGTCACTGCACTCCAGCCTGCAAGACAGAGTGAGAGTGCGTCTCTAAAAAATCAAAATCAAATCAAATCACAAAATGGATCTAACTCCAGTTAAAACAGTTGATGCTGAAATGCTCCTAGTTTTTTTTTTTTTTTTTTTTTTTTTTTTT